ATTTCTTTGGCAATTCTTTGGGATTTTGCCTCCTCTCTGCAGAGCTTCACCACAATTGCAAACAAATTATCCAATTGTTTTCCAATTGAGCTTGTTCCTTCAGCCCAATGGAGGTTTTGCTAGGAGCTGATGCGTTAATTGTGAGCAATCACTAAATTAATCGCGGATTAAAATTCCTGAGCCCTTTTAGGCACACGGRGAATTTAAGCAACTTCAGTCGTGTGTCATCTAATTTTCTGTTTATCTCCTGAGCTGTCAATTAAAATATTTTAAAGCCATTTTCGCCTTTGAGAGAGAGGAAAAAAAAAAATAGATTTTCCAAGTAGGAAACTCTCATAGGGACATCCTCTTTTCCCTGATATTTCCCATATTTCAGTTCATCCTTCTCGATTTAATAAATACTAACAATTTTATAGTTCAATGCGAAGCGTTAAAATAAATTTTTTTTTCTTTTTGAGGGGTGTTTCCTGATCTCCCTCCTGTGTTTTCTACGGGAGTAAAGYCGGGCTTTTAACTCAGGTTTAGCACTCGGCAGCCCTGGGACTCACCCGTGGCTGTCTTTGTGTCCCAATCCCAGCAAGAACTGACGGAAAAAAACAAAGCCAGGCGCGATTTGTGCTCTTGGGCCACCCCTCCCTTGGGAAAGCCTCTATTGCACATCCCGGTGACATTTCGCTGTCACATAAAAGCAGCCCCRTGRTGACGCCACCSTCAGGAAAGATTTCTCCACATCCCGGAGATTTTGGCACTGCTGGCTCGGGGTGGTGGCTCAGAAATTAAGGAGAGGTTTTTTGGTGGATTTCCTTTGGTTCCTCGGATTTTTTTAATCGGCTTTCATTCTTTATCACTCCTGAAAATGTGTGAAATTTGCCTAAAGCTCGGAATTCTGCAGGGAATCACGAGAATTCCTAAAAACTGGTTCTAAATATGGATGGAGCTGGGMTCTGCTCCCAGGGAACGGGGCCGGGACGAGAGGGAACGGCCTCGAGCTGTGCCAGGGGAGGCTTAGGAGAGGAATTTGGGGAAATTCGTCCTGGAAAAGGGAAAAAAACCGAAAAAAACCTGCCCGGAGAGGGTTGGATCCCCATCCCTGGGGGTGTCCGAGGTGTCTGAGAAATCCCTGGATGTGGCACTGGGCTGGTGGGAGGTGGGGATTGACCAAGGGTTGGACTCCATGACCTTGGAAACATTTCCCAATCTCAAAGATCGAATTTTGGGGTTCTGGGAACCTTCAGGAATCAGAACCCTTCAGGAGGGAGAAGCTGAGCTAAACCAGGGTATAAAATGAAAAACTCGATGACTCTTCTGTCTCCAGCTGATCACATCCCACCCCTCACTGTTTCATCCTCCAGCTCAGAGTCGTCACCTCTGGACACCTCCGTGCCCCCAGCGAACCCCCAAACCCCTCTGTTCCTAAATTCTGGATGCTTCACCCAACCCTGCCTTTCTCAACCCCCGATTACTCAAACAATTCCCATCCAATTAGCACAAAACCCCATAATTGCGGCTCGGGGAGGCCCGAGGGAGGCAGAGGAAAGGATGGGACCGAAACAATTCCACGGAGAAAGGAAATGCCAACGAAAGGTGATGATGCAGGCGGGTTTTAATGGGATACACCGGGGAACGGCACAGAACAGACACTCCTTCGAGCTTCACTGGCCAAGGAGAATCCACCTCCCACCCATTGTTCTTCTCCTGGCAGGGTTGCATCGACAAATCCCGTGTCAGGCATTCCGAGTTGTTCTTTTCTTTTTTTCTTCTCTTGGCACGATGAAAACGAGGAGCTGGCGCCGAAGGGCAATTAACAGAGGCTGTTAATTAAAGACAGAGGGGGAAACGCAGGGAAGAGGTGTTGGCCCAGAGCTCCTGAGCGAGGCTGGCTCCCGGTGATGCTTCGGCCATCCCCGAAACCCCGGCCCAGCTGCAGCTATGGATCGTGGGCTCGTGGCAAATCTTCAGCTGCCTCAGTTTCCCAAACGGGACCCGCGGCTGCTGCTGCTGGTGTAGAACTTCCTGATGCAGCAGCCCCCTGAGGAACCCCCGGATCCATAGGAGCCCCCCTTGGCCACCATGCCCCCAGAGCTGCAGGAACCCCCAGACCCGTAGGAGCCCCCCATTCCTGAGGAGCCCCCRGAGCCGTAGGAGCCCCCGTARCCGKARGAGCCCCCRKAGCYGTAGGAACCCCCRGATCCRTAGGAACCCCCGTAGGAWCCCYTCGGGATTCCGCCGTAGGAGCTTCCCATCCCCCCAGAGCTGTAMGGCTGGGGTATGGAGGAGCCCACGATGCTCTCCTGGGGGCAGGAGCTCAGGATGGGCCCGGGGAAGGTGACGATGACGGGCGGGGCGTAGACGACGGCGGTGGAGTCGCCGCACGAGGCCACGCAGGGCCCGAGGCCGCAGCTGTAGGTGCAGGGCTCAGGACACGCCACCTCGCAGCCGGGCAGGCACCGGGAGCTGATGCTGTTCATGGTTTTTAGGAGTGGAGRAGGAGCTGGGGAAGGAAAGATGGAGTCAGGGAATGGTTCAGCACGCACAGGGGACAGCAAAGGAGATCCCTGTCCCTCCTGCTCATGAAATTCCAAAATCCTTGAGGCTGGAAATGAGCTCTCTGAGCGGTGCCTGATTCCTCACTGGTCACCCAGACCAACGTCCAGGAACTCCCCGGACATCCCCAGGGATGGGGATCCATCCTGCCCTCCCCAGGAAGGTTTTTTTCCCTTTTCCAGGAGGAATTTCCCCAAATTCCCCCCCTGAGCCTCCCCTGGCACAGCTCGAGGCCGTTCCCTCTCACCCCGGCCCCATTCCCTGGGATCAGATCCCAAATCCGCCCTGGCAGATCCCAAATCCTCCCTGGATCCCCCTTTTTCTCCAAGATCAGCCCCTTTCCAGCTCCCTCGGGATTCTCCATTCCCTTCTCCTGCTGCTCCAGCCCCGTTCTCATCCCTGACCCTGCTCCAGCCCCTCCGTGTCCTCCCTGAATTTGGGGATCCAGAACTGGACACGGGATCGAGGTGTGGCTTCACCTCCTCCCTCAAATCCTCCTGTCCTGGGATCGCTTTTCTCCCTCCCTATTCGGCCCCATAGAGCACTTTTAGGATAATTTCTTATCCAGCAAATTCAAGCTTTAAATTTGCTCCTCAAGCTTCGAAAGCCACAAGGAAAATTCAAACAACTCCGAAAATTCCATCTTTAAATATCAAATCCATTTCTGTCCCCAAGCGACTGCAGGGAGAGTCCAGCATAAACCAGGATTTCACTGCCACGTCTCCGGGCTAAAATCCCAAAAATCAAGGACCAAATCCTTATTTAAAATTATCCCTACAGAGAAAGAGAGAGAGCGAAGATCAGTTTGAATCCAACTCACCTGAAGTAGCAGGAGAAGTCAGGAGAAGGTTTGAGGAGAGTCCGGAGATGTCCCTGCTTTTATACCCCTTTACATCCCATAAAATCCCCAACCCTTACCAAATTCCCATTTTTTTTCCCTCTACGTGACTCCTCTGACGCCCGTAATTATTTTCATAGTTCCCAATTAGCAAATCAACCCTCGACATATACAATCCGACTCCCGTATCGTAAATTCGGCTTTTTCATTGTGTGGGAATTTTACAGCCCAATTCCAGCGCAACATCCCCGGGGTGACTGCATTTACAACGGCATCTGACCCCTGATTGTTATTTTTTGTTAATTGTTTAAGTGGGGCCCGGAATGGATCAGCTCTGCAAGTCTGCACTAAAGCACGGCTTGAATTGATGACGAGATAATTTTGAAGGTCAACCTCACTCGGGAAGAATTTCAGGAGGAATTTCCTCACGGAAAAGAGAGGCCAGAACTCGGAAAGGGCTCGGGGAGGTTTGGAATCGCCGTTCCAGGGGGTGAACGAGGGACAGATGGACATTGGTCAAATGTTGGATTTGATGGTCAAACGTTGGACTCGACGGTCAAATATTGAACTTGATGACCTTGGAGGGCTTTTCCAACCTAAACGATCCCAAGGTTCTAAGTTTGGGATCCACCTTTGACCACAGAGACCTGGTGATTTTGGGGTGGCACCGGTGACATCCTGRTGACATCCTGGTGACAATCCTGGYGCCAYCCTCGTGACAAYGCTGAGCTCAGCATCCCCCAAATGAGTTTTGTCCAAATGACTCAAAGGGTTTCGATCTCAGAGACCTCAATCCCTCTGAAATTGGTTTCGCCGTCCCATCCCTGTGACCCACAGATTCAGGGAGGGTGACAAAGAGCCCTGACCCCCACCCAAGGTCGGATGAATCCATTTGGGAGGGTTTGGACCAAAATCCGAGGCTCACGCCCCAAATTGTGCGAGTGACACGCGGGGAGCCACCTTCCTTCGAGTCACCGGAGAAAAACAAACACAGGAATCAACTCGTGTTTTCTTTGGAACCAGAACGACGCCGAGAGGGTTTTTTTTCCATGAAGTTTGAGACAAAAGGAGGCTTTTGGGTGTYGGATTTGTGTCACTCAAACAGGGCTGGAAATGATTGCCGATTATGGGCTGAAATGAAAACAACAGCGAGGCTCACGAGGATCTTTTTCTTTGTAAGTGAGGAGAATTTAGTAAATGATGGGTGACCTCACATCCGTCCCATTGTCTGAAAATGGGATAAAAGGGGACAGACCTGGGGCATYCTCCATTCTCCCAGCTCCACTGATCCATTCCTCCACGACAACGGGGTAAGTCTGCCTTCACTGCTCTCCTCTTCAAAATCTCTCTTTTTTTATCTTGCAGAATTCTGGTAATTTTAGAAAAGCTGAGGGAGAGAAGAGTGGATTTAGAAAATTTGGGGGAAAAGGGAAGGACAGGGGAAGGAGGATTTTCCTTGGGGACTTTCTATGGGCAAATCTTCCTGCGGGTTTCTTTGAAAAGGGAATTAATGGAACTTTTCTGAGCCAGGAATTGTTTAAGGATCAGGTGGTTTAGACCYGAAGAACAGAGGCAGAATTTTTTGGGAGTTTCAGAAGAATAAGGGATGTGGTAGCAGGAAAGGAAAAACTGAGAAGCCTTAAATAGGTCAGGAAGGAAGGAAAAATTGGAATTTATGAGGGAGGATTGAACTGGGAGCAACTGGAGAAGAAGAACAAGGTGAAACTGGGAACCTGTGGCCTGACCCTGCCGCTTCCTTGACCACATTTTCTCATCCCCAGCTTAACCCCTGATCCCAAGGAACGATGCTGAGCAAAACCGAGTGCCTGCCTGGCTGTGAGGTGTCCTGCACCCAACCCTGCGCCTACAGCCGCAGCCTGGAGCCCTGCGTGGCCTCGTGCGGYGACTCCAGGGCCGTGGTGTTCCCTCCTCCCGTGGTGCTCACCTTCCCCGGCCCCACCCTCAGCACCTGCTCCCAGGAGAGCGTCGTGGG